AGTTGCAGTTCTGTGGCCATTTTCCTAGTATTTCTTTATCTACGGATCAAAATCCTTTATCTTTGCCATTATCTCCCTGGAATACACAATGGCTCAAATACCATCTCAACTGCTTGCAGACCCCCTGGGGAACAAAGGTCAAATTACTTGTCAACTTCCTGGAGTCACCTAGGTCATGTATTTCAGTTCCTGGAAAAAAGAATTTCCACATACATTAATCACTGAAGCCTATCAACTATAACTAAAGCGAAAATCTTTAACTCTTGAGGTCCCCTATTAGAACTACTCACAGTTCCTCCACATCCCATGCCCTTCTCCACGCTCATGTCTACACACTTGCTTGTGTGTTTTCTTCTGCCTGCAATGCCCTCTCTCCATCGAGCTGAGTCCTTAATGTGTGTATACATGAAGTTTAGATGATACCTCCCCTGGATTCATCCCTGGCTCCACCTCCCCTCTCCACCTTCCCAAGTCTGAATGGGCTGAAATTTCTCTATTCCATACTCTTGTCTCCCTTAGTACTTACCACACCATTCAGGAAATTCGTAGCAATTTGAAGAGCTAGGTATGATTATTATCTCTGTTGCATAGAGACAGAAATGAAGGCTCAGAGAGACTAAGTCACTTCCCAAAGGCCAGATAACTGCTACGTAAAGAAGCCAAGGTTACGCTGCACAGAGGAAAAGATGGATCTTTCCTGGCTTGCTCCTTGAAGATGGTCAAAAGAGCTGTACTCTCAGCCCTGGTCTTGTTGGCCAAGAGATCAAAAGTAAATCACACTCTTTAGTCCTCAGTTTCATTTATTGAATAAAACCCCTGATACTCTTTTGGTTTATTTCTAGCTACCTACCCATCCATTTGTCTTTCTCAGAGCATTTAGCTTTCCCTGTTTTTTATTTTCTTCATAAGAGTAGTGACTCTTACAGCTCTAAAAGAATAAAAAGCATGTCATCTTCACCTTCATTTCCATAGTTCCAGGCCACTGTCCTATGTGTTTTCAATGTATTAACTTATTTAATCTTCACAATACCATTAGGAAGGTTTTACTTTTATCCTCACTTATTTCACACTTAAGGAACTTCACACTGGCCCCAATCACAGGTATATCATGATGTCCTGTGGGTCTGAAACTGGGTAGTCTGGCTCCAGAATCCATGCTCTTAATTGCTATGCTGTAAAGAAAGCAATTTAATTTTCTTCTTCAATCTAGGTCTAGTTTCAGAATGGATTTTTACATATATTTTTATCTCCTCTTTCTCTGGACTCTTTAACTCTTGCTTTTATTCTGTAATCTGCATTTATTTTTGTGAAATAAAAGAATTTTTACTACACTCTAAAAATTTCACATATTAAATCTCATTTATATGTTCATATTAATTTATCACTGAGAAGCAACTTTGAAAGAGTAAAGTCTTCCTCTAATTTTCAACTTTTACAACCTTAAATGTGAAGAGTAACTTCTCCAAAATATGCCGCTTTGGCAAAAGGATTACTTTGAACTGAGGCAATTACGAAGGAGCTGTCAAAAAATGTTCTCTGTCCTCCCCCTATTTGCCTAAAAGCAGGATATAAAATAACTAATGTGTCCCCTCTCCTCTCCTTTCTCTGCCAGGAAGGACAAAACTTAATCATCAAAAATAGCTTTAGACCTTTACCAGCCTAAAGGTGGCACCAGAAAAATCCACATGGCAAACTTGACTAACTAGCCTTCATCTACCATGAGCTTTGGTGATGAGAAAACAGCTTTTGTGAGTTGCTGCCTAGGCATTCTACAGTGCGACAGTGGCTCACACTGAGTCTGGACATTTAGATAAGGACCTGAATTTAGGATTTCCACCCTAAGTTCTCTACTTTGCTTCTTTCGGGGCACCTGTTAAAATAACCATAGAGTCGAGCCCACCAAAGTTAGTGACCTTCGCCCCAGTGGTCACTTTATAAGTGACAGGTGCTTGCTATCCCGCTCCGTCTCCTGCTGGATTGTGACCCGGCACAGAGGACGGGGCAGAGGACGGCTCACTGTGCCCCCTCCCAACCCTGCTTCTGGAAACTGTAAGTAATAAATCTTGTGACTCTAATTCCTTTATCTGAGTGTGTTGGAACATGCCTTCAATCAAAGTGACCCGCACCCCGGGGTTTCACTTCCCTAAAGTGAGGCCCAGGTGCTGAGGGGGCTCCCTGCTGACCGGAATCTGTGGTTCGTGGCCCCTCATTAAGCAGACCACAGTCTGCATATTCCTAATTTAACACACCAGCTAAAAGTCCCCAACGCAGTTTCCTTTATGGTATATTTGCCTTCACACAATTTGCTGCCCCTGGAGACCCAGAGTCATTTACTCTGTCCTGTCATTTCTCTAAAAATGAATCGTTCCCTTGCCAGGAAAGTTCTAACCAAACCTTTGAGCCCCTCGTCCCTGGCTTTCTCCTGTGTATTTATGAGATGTGCTTGTCAACAAACATCTGTGTGTTTTTCTCTTATGAATCTGTCTTTGCTACAGAGCTCTAGCTGAAACCTGGAAGAGGTAAAAGAAAAGATGCTTTTTTCCTCCCGACAAATTCAAGGACAGGATCTCACACAGCTCTGAGGGCAGTAAGTGCAATAATGTTAAAGGTACACGCATGTGAATGACTGCACGTGTTGCCTCTTAGACCTGGAGGAGTCAAGGGTTGGGATGGAAAGAAACACAAATCTAAGATGAGCGAAAGAATGGTGCTGAGCCCGGGGCCCCAGTGTGCTCCCGGGGGCTAACAGGACAGAAAAACACACAAGATGTAAGGATGAAAGAAGACCACAACAGTCCCTCACGCTTAGAAAATAGAAGTAGTTTAAAGAACCAAGAATAATTAAAGTATCAAGAATAAAACTAAGTGAAATATTAATTTTTAAGAGCAAACTCTATGGTTTTTAAAAAGGAAGCAGCAAAGTATCTGAAGAAAAGTGGTCAATCGGGCATTTCATTGTGAAAATCTTAAGGTGTCACCAAAGAATAAAGGAATTCCTGACAATCAAAACATGATCCCCAGAGATTTATATCAAGAACTAAAGGAGAGCAAGCCTAAAATATAAACAGATTCACTCTTTAATGTCACTTTTCTCATTTACTGAAAAATCTACAGTCGGGAAACATAAAATGAACTGCCAGAGCCATTGTTCTCAGCGAGCATTTTGGGATTCAGGGAATGGAATAAAATGCAACACAACACAACACAAGACAACACAACACAATACAATAGCATATAATACAATACATAGAATACAATACCATACAATATAGTACAATACAATACAATACAATACAGTACAATACCATACAATACAGTATAACGCAATACAACACAACACAATATAATACAATACAATACAATATAATACAACACAACATAATACAACACAACATAATACAATACAATATAGTACAACACAGTACAATACAAGCATACAGTTTGAATTAAGGGAAAAATAATATATACAGTAAAGATAGATAACAGATGATAGAGAAATTTCATTAAGTGTGCTTTTAAAAGGATTGTCACAATATTCCCCCAGAATGTTTCAATTTGAAAAAGTCCTACTTCCGATCTGTCCTCACACAGAAGCAGGCCTGTGAACTTGTGGTTATCCACCTATGACAGGATGGCTCTGGAAACTGATAACAAGTTTTTAGAAACTTTTATAGGAGTCTGATGAGAAAATTGCATGTCCGTTTCATCTAATAATAAAGTTTAGAGTTTCATTTTCCGTCTTTTTGTACTTTTTCTAATAATTCATTTTTATTAGATTTTATAAAAGAGTCAGCAGACTATGCTGGATTAGAAATGTTAAAATGAAACTGTCCCTTTTCTATAGGTCGTTTGAGAAGCAAGTCATAAAATTATATTTAGTTAAGGCCGATGCCGTGGATTCTTCCCATCTACGTGATGTACAAATCCACAGGTTTAATCCAGCTATCGTTTTTGCCTTTCCAGGAACTGAAATTGGCCACCCTCCCTGTGAGAGGAATCAGAAGTGAGCTGAGAGAAAGGGAAGGACCACCCTTCTGCTCAGCAGCTACAATCTGGAACTGTAAATCAAGTAACAACCTTAGGAATTCCACAGTCATTTTTAGGCCAGTAGTTTGCCCATTTTTACCAAATGTTCTAAGGTTATTATTAGCCTTTTTCTGCCTCTTCACATAGTTCTGCAAAACACGGTGCTGGGTTTCATTCAATCCCTCACTGACACCACAAGATGACTTTTCCCTGTGAATTCTAGGCCAACAGGCAGTGAACGCTGTGAGGACGCATTTTGGCTTTGGGGAACTGAAGTGGGGTCTGTGATTTGCATCCATCCCCCCTTGTTCTGGTGGCACTTAGGTGACTGTGGAGTGGCATCCCTGCAGGACAGAGCAGGCATCCATGGGGACGGGGCATACCCTGGAAAGGCTGCAAGCCCGAAGGTTGCACCACCCTTTCACCTTCCTTCGCTGCAAACCACAAAATGTACAGCAGGTGATTTCTCAGATTTTTGTTTACTTTCATGGCCCGTTTTCTGAGAAGAGATAAGGGCTAACTTTCGAATTCACTTCTCAGAAAATAGACAAAAGGTAATTGACCTTAGAGGACATCTGCCTGTTTGTTGCGCCGCTGCTCTCATGACCAGCCTCAAAACCCCGGGGACCTATAATGTACAAAATCTCTGCTAATTGCCAGATGTCCGGGCCATCTCGCTTTTAGACTGACCCTCTTACTAGCAGCACATAAAGCCTTTTCTTACCTCCAAACCTTTCAACAGGAGGCTTTTGTCAGAATTCAGTCCATCTTGCTGCCCGGCAGTTCTTTCTCTAGAATGCTGTGACGTGCCCCCCTGCCTGGGAGCTGCAGGGTAGACGCGAATGTCGAGTTCAATGCCGTGTCCTCCAGATGTTGGAAAGAAAACCCGAAGAGAGCTCTGTCATGGACTCAGACACATATTCCAAGGACTCGTAGCTCAGCCTGTCTGTCAGGACCCGTGGAAGGGTCTAAGGACCCTTGTAGCCAGTTCTGTTTAAACTGACATCTGCTGAAGAGGTTGAGGCCAGACAGCTGCCCAGGTTCCTGTTTCTCCGAGAGGAGAAGTAATCTGCCCATTTAAAAATGCCAATAAAAATAAAACTTAAAAGGTAAGTAGGAAGAGTTCTAAAACCTGTGTTAATATTTTAAAGTGTAATGAAAATTAGGTGAGTTTAAATGAGTTTAGCAAGGAAGAAAAAGTTACACAACATCTACTGCACAGAGAGATGCATGAAAAGAGAACTCCAGGAGGAGCAAAAGTAGATTTATAGGATGAAAGAGAGAATCCAAAGTGTGTTCTGTACACAAAAGGTATTCAATGCTTTCTCAGATCTGTGAACTTTTATGGCACATTTTCTGAGAAGAGACAAGGGTGTTGTGAATATCCTGGTGATTTCTACTGAAAAAATCTTTTCTGAATTTCAAAAGAAAATATAACAAATTGTAGCCTAAAAACACATGTTTAATAGAACAAATGAATACATGTATTCAAGCACTGGAACTAGTGCCAAAAGAGTAATTAACTAGCCAAAATGTAGTAATTCATGCTATTACTATTACAAAGGGAATACCAACACAATAAGCATACCCTCAAATATGTATTAAATACATATTTAAAAGTCAGAAGGAAGATGACAACCTAAAGTCATGAATAAAACAATGGAATGATGAAATATAAGTGATATCTGATAGTAGCAGTACTAATAGTACTTTGAAAAAAATTACAAATGTATACATTTGAATCTAACCAAATTATCGGAAATTGAAAAGTATAACATTTAACAAAACTTGAAATAAGAAATGAGAAACCTAGCAATTTCCTTATACCTGTATGACATCTATTAGTATTTTGTTGTGTCCACATTGGTTTTTATCAGTGTCTGTCTCTGCAAGTGGATTGAGACTTTCATAGAGATGGTGGGTGGGTTATGTTCAGGTTTTGGTAAATGTTTTTGAATAGATGAGAATGTAAAGAAAAGAAAACATCTTTAAGTTACAAGATAAGATCAAGAAACTTAGAATATAATAGGTTAACAGTCCCTACATGTGACATATGTGCTGGGTTTCTCCAGACATAGGAAAAGGGGTAAAGGGAGACAAGAGCAAACTATGAGTTTTGGAGAGATTTTTGTAGACTTAAAAAGGGAGTGTAAGAGTCAGAATGAAAAACGCTGAAATACCAATGTTTATGGATGATGTGATGGTATAACTAGAAAATAAGAGAAAAGCAAATCCTAAAACAAATTAAGCTTTTTGTTGTATGATATAAATCGGCCCCAAGCATTGCAATTAAAGTCTTAAATACCAGTGATAGCTAGGATGTGAAGTGAGTGGTCTCTGTTCCTGACAACACAAAAACAAGGATTTATGAATGAATGCATTAAGAAATAGATCCATCTCACACACACACACACACACACACACACACACACACCACCCAAAATGTACAAGAACACACACATCAATGAAGAGGGGAAGTATCCATGAGGTTGGAAAGACTTTATGTCTGTACTTTTCTGAGTATTAATTCATTCCAGGGATATCACTCCTGAGTCCTATCCTTCCCCACCACGCGCCATTCTAGTTTCTCCCACCAGATTACCAGATTGATTATCCTGAAATAAAAATTGATGAGACATTCCATGGTCCCAAACTTCTTCATCCGCCTGTCAGAGCCCACAAAAGGATCAAAATCCAGTGTTGCACAATAGGCTCATCCATTCTTAACATATCTCCACTTCCTTGTTAAAATTCATAATTATTGGGGCTTTATTTTTTATTGTAGTAACAAGAGTTACCATGAGACTCTTTTAACAGATTCTGAAGTGTACGGTGCAGTAATTTTCATTGTAGGCATGATGTTGTCCAGTTGACCACTAGAACTTCTTTTGCAGAACTGAAATTTTGTGCCCCTTGAATAATAATTCCCTTTGGCCTTTGCCTCCCAGTCCTGGGAATCACCGAGGGGATTCCCATTTCTGCTTCTATGAGTTTAACTAATTTTAGACTCCTCACATAAGTTGAATCATACACTGCTTTTTGCGCATGCGAAATACACTGTGCGTATTTCACTGCAAATCATGTCTTCCAGGTTCATCCACGTTATCGCACTTATTTTTATACCCATGTTTTCATTCCTCCAAAGCTGCCTATGTATTGACTTCCCATGCCTGTGCCACATGCTCCCCGCCCTGCATTTTTCTATTTGTGTGCCTTTCATGACGCTTTTCCAGATTTTTCCAACTTAGGCCACCTATCCCTTTGTCATAGAGCATTTAGTCCTACAATATATGCCTGCCATTTGCTGAAACCTTGTATGTCATCGGGACAATTCTTCAGGCTTCACTTTCACTAGCATTTAACAGTCTGTGTGTTTCTAACATTTCTAATTAGATTAAACATGTGTTAGATACAATATTTATATCCCTCATAATATTTAGCATAATGTCTTACACATAGTAATTATGCAGTGAATACCGTTTAATCAATTGAATGGTAACAGACTCCTTAAAGGAACACTTTATTTACCATTTTATTTAGTTTATAAGTATAAACTAAGTATTTATTTATACTCAGTGGCCCCAAGGCACGGGAAGTACTTGGCATGCAGTAAATGCTCAGTAAATACTGGGTTGTGTATGGAGGAAAACAGAAAGGAAGAATGACATGATTCGGCTGAGACCACACTGCTACATGCAGAGGTCAATTCTTTGTTCTCTTCTTTTTTAACAGTTCTTTTCATTCTTCCATTACAGTTGACATACAATGTTAGTTTTTTCTCATTTGCCCCAGCCGGTAGCTCCTTCCTACCGGAAGCACGTCTTTCACCAGACTTCTAGGAACTCACTCTCTTGGTCTTCCTCCCATGTCACTGACCGTTCCTTCTCAGTCTACTTCGCTGTCTTTGTCTTCTCCCAGCCTCTTCCCCTTGAAATGCTTCAGGGACCACTCCCTGGTGCCCTTCTTCTCTGTTTTCTTCTCTGACACTTATTCCCTTAGGTGATCTCACTACTTCATGGCTTTTAAGGAAAAGCCATTGCTGATGTGCTGATAGCTCCCATATACACATCTTCAGCCCTGAAACCTGCACTAACTCCAAACCTGTCATGCCCTCTTGCCTACTTGATATTTCCACCAGGATGTCCAGTAAATGTTGCAAATTCAAGATATTCCAGCTTGAGTTCTCAATCTTCCTCCTTGAGCTGGCTCCTCCAACAGGGTGCCTCATTTCAGCTAAGAATAGAAACATCATCCTTCCAGGATCAGACATTCTTAACTATCTTGTTCTCAATCCACCAGGTAACACTTCTTTCCTCTACCTGTACGGATGCCAACAACTTCTCACCTCCCAGCCCTCTGCCAGCTGGGCCTGCGCCATCACCACGGCTCACCCGGACTGTTACAACAGCACCTGCGACTGACTCCCCACACAACAAACAGCCCGAGACATCCTTTGAGAAGGTAAGTCAGAGGCTGTCACTTCTCTTCCAAAACCCTGCAGTGGCCCTCCATTTCACTCAGAGTACAACCCGAAGTTGTTATGAGGAATTGTCCAGGTGGACTGCCAGCGTTTCTCTCTGACTTTATCTTCTACCGATTTCCCTCTCGCTCACTCTGCTCTAGTTGCAATGCCCTCCGTGTGATTTATTTCAGCCATTTATTGCTCCTTAACAATCTACCCCAAAATTAAGTGGCTTAAAACAAGATTCTGCTCTCCTTTGTAGGTTGACTGATATCAGCTGAGAGATCTTGCCAAAGGTTTCTTGCATGGTCGCAGTCCAAGGTCAGCTGGGTCTGAACTCATCTGAAAGCTCAATGGGCCAGGTGTCCAAGATGGCTCACTGTCGTGACTAACAGCTGATGCTGAGCCTTCGCCGATGCTGTGGACCAGGGCGCCACCAGATGGCCTCACCATGTGCATTGGGCTGCTCACAATGTGGCAGCCAGGGCAGACAGTGTTCTGACAGTCAACATCCTAAGAGTAAGTGCTAGAGGAGGTAGGAAGTAGAAGTTTCTGGGCCAGGTGAGGGCCACACCTGGAACTGGCACAGTGACACTTGACTCATATTCTACTGGTTTAAGCAGTCACAGAGCCTGGCAGAATTTAAAGACATGGAGCAATAAACCCCACCTGTTCCTGGGAGTCTGGCAAGGCTGCAGTGCAAAAGATCATGTGGGATGGGAGACATTTTGGGGACTATCTGAAAACCACGCTCAGTCATGCTACTTTGCAAACATGACGGTGATGTCTGATATGACTAGCCTTTCCCGTTGCCAGGAATGGTTTCTCCCAGTACCAGCAGGTTTTGCTCCCTCGTGGCTCTCAATTCTTTGCTTTCTAACTTACTTCGGCTCTGCTGACATGTCGCAGATGGGTCTCAAAAAGCCCATCTTTGACCGCCTCGTTTAACATCATACGTAAACACTCCCCTATGACTGCGATCGCTCACAATCACCTCATCCATTGCAAATTGGCTTGACCACCTTTAATCAGGCCCCTCTCTTCCCCAAAAGCCCCTAAAATTTGGCTTTCCCTCAAGTTTGAACAACCTCTAAGCAACCAAGGGGCAAAACATCACCGCCCCTTAACAGCTAATTCTGAGAAATGAATTCACTAACCACAAAGAAAAATATTTTTTGCTTAAGCACCCCAGTGATGCCACCTGTTTGCCTCACCCATTTGCCAGACTCCCCACAAACTTCCTGCTGTAGAAAAAAGCTATTTTCTTGTTTAATGGTGCACTTTTCTGAAATTAAAGCATTCTCTCTATTGCATTAGTCTTTTAAAATAAAGTCTTTCTTATTGTAGGTGATCAGAAAGCATTTGCCCACCTACTGGACAAACTCTCACCTGTGTGATGAGAGCAGGTCTACCTAACATATAAAGATACAGAATAAAGAAATATTTGCTACTGATTTTATGGGATCTTATTCTGCACTCCAGATAATTGAGTCTCTGATACGTTCGTTGAGCCAGCTTTTCGTTTCAATCATGTGGTTCCTATAAAACTCTTAGCAATGCTCTACTGTATTTTTCTTAGTCCTGCCTACTCCTTTCCCTCTCTGCTCTTAGACTTAGCTCAGAATCTGGAGGCTGGTTATTTGGGAACAGTTTTCTGTTATTCTGCTAACTCATGGGATTTTCATTTTCTCTTGGCACACCCTTGTTAACTTGTGCTGAGTTGATATCCTATGTATTCCACTCATCTGACCTTCCCTGTAGTCTGCTACATGCTCTCAGACACAACATGGTCATCTGTCTGGTCTGGACCACCTTTCTTCCTCTCCAACCAACCTGTCTGCCCAAGCTGACCCTGACTCACTAGACAAGGTGCCATTACTATTTCTGACACCTTCTAGTCTTCCACATCTAGACATATCCTGAGGCAGAAGAAAAAGAGATTTTTTTTCTCGTGATCATGCACAGGTGAACATGCAAAAGATGTAATATTGGGCTAAAACAGTACTTCTCAAAAAAGATCTGAGAGCACAGTGATTTTTATGTTCTAAGTTATTCTTCCATTCCTAAACTCCAGGCAGAAAGGAAAAAAAGTAGGGAAAAGTCAAAAGTCTCATGGTTATAATAGCTTTCGTTTCATGGGTACATAATTCACCTGTTTTCACACACTGTGGCTCCTTTAAATAAAGTTTCAGAGCCCTGTTGGCATGAATGAGATACCAATGCCTCAGAGTCTCACCCAAGCATCACCGATAAAAGGGCAATCTTCAGATAGATCAGAACTGCAGAGAGCTCTTGAGGTGCAAGATTGAGCTGGGAAGCAGTTGAAGAAAATTTATGGGATTTCTGGATTTATGGAAGTTAGGACACTAAACCATGGGGAAAAGCTTCCCTCTCATTGAAAGTTTTGCTGTCAGCACTGCTTTTAGGAAACAGCTCACACTGTGTTTCATATCCTCCTGCCCTGTGTTCTGACTTTAGTCTTTCAGGTGAGGCAGAAGGAGCGAGCAAAGTCCCCTGGGGTCGTCCAGGTAGTCAGCCTGGGTTCTCCCTTCCTCCATCCAGCTTCTGAGTCTTGTCTAGGAACTGTAAATCGTACTTATACACCTGCCCCATCAGTACTATATGGATTAAACAAGAGGACAAATTAAAATATTTTTAACAGTAAACATAACCAATTGCAGGACTACATAGGAATTTAGAATGTAAAAAAAAACCTGGTATAAATGGAAATATACCTGTATCAGATAATTAATATTTTAAATGTCATCCCCCCAAGTTAATATATAAGTTAAATATATTTTAAAATACACTTGAAAATGAGTCTAAACTTTAATTAAAATAGTAAATATATGAGAATACAGGTATGTCTGAGGGGGAAAAAAGGAAGAATAAAAGTTTTTATACTCTATCTACTATCTAAAATAGAATATTGAGCTAACATAGTAATTCTCAAGTGACGGCAACTCGGTCCCCCAGAGGATTTTTGGTAATGTCATTGAGACACTCATTTGCTCGTGACAAATGAGTCGGAGTGTGGGGGAGGCCAAGGATGCGGCTAAACATCCTACAGTACATGAGCCTGTTCTCTACAACAAAGACTTATCCAGGCCAAAGTGCCAGTGGTGCCGAGGTTAAGAAACTGAGCCTTTCACTTCAGCTTGCTAGCCAAGCAGTCCTTGCAAGGTGAGAAAGGGAAGCACTTCTGGGCGTGAAAACTAACATTGCGACTTGCAGCTCCACTCAGCACCGTGGAGCTGAGCTGGGTTTACTCACATCGGCAGAAGCCACCGCTCTCGAGTGTTCTTGCCTTCCCGGCACCGTCCCTTAGAGCTGACTCAATCTGTTGAACCAGAGTGTCTTGGGGCAGAACTCAAGTATAATTAAAACTATAGAACTATTTCCCACCAGTGGGGAAATTTCCATGGAAATCAGAACAAAACTGAAATTTGAGTTTTGAAATTGAAAGGAAATTTCCCTTGTAACTGAAATCGCAGAGGGGGGAAAAAGAACCAATATTGTCGTAATCCAAGTAGGCTCAGGGAGTGATCAGATTTTAGCAACTACAATCAAAATGAGGCTGAAGAAGCTAGAACTATTAGGGGAATAGTAGGTGATTTCGGAAGTCATTTTAGGGGCTGGCCCCTGAAAAGTCACAACCTGATCTACCTCCTAAACAAATAAAATAGTGGCAAGAACTTAAATGGCAGGATCTGTTCTAAACACTTTATGAAATACATATTAAACTATTTAGTCCTCACAACAACTCTGCAACATAACTACTGTTCTTAACCCCATATTTTGAATGACAAAACGAAGCCAAAGGCAGGTGAAGTAATTCAAATTCACAGAGCAAGTGAGTGGGGAATCAGACTTAGATCTAGCCATCTAAGGCCATGCCAGACATGCTATGCTGTGCCTGCACTTACGGAGCCTACAGTCAAAAAGGGAAAACAAATATTAATCTACTGATCCATTAGAGAATGTACAGCAGCAAAGTGAGTGAGGTGCCCTGAAGGAAAGATGGAAAGGCCTCTCTCTATTAGTGATTCACAGGAAGCTGAGCTGGCCCTGTAGCATCAGGGTAGCCTTGAGAGAGGCTACTCTCTCAGAGTGCCTCGAGAGAGGTGTCAACCAATTGTGTTTGAGACCAATTCAACTTCAACAGGAATCACCAATTTGGGGTGAAGAAGGATGCTTTATTCAATGCAAAACAGCTCAATTGTGATACAGGAAGGCTGTGAAACACAGCACAGCATGGCTATGAGGCAGTCCTGGGGCTTTGCAGTGCTGGGGGCCAGGTGCCTCTCTGGCTAGATACTCCTGCTCTGCTCCTCTCTGGTCTGCTTTGCTCTGCCCGCCCCCTGCCGGTCTGGCCTGCTCTGCTCTGCTCCAGCCTGCTCCTGTTCTGTGCCAGTCTGTCTGCTCTGCTCAGCTCTGGTGAGACATCTTTGGTTTTCAGCTCAGCCAGGAATATGCAGTCTTCAATCTCAGTGGAAAGGGAAGTGCGCTTACAGTGGAGACCTGACTTACATAGACAGAAGTCTCTTTCCCTGGTACCTGATTATTCCATCCTCATGCAAATGAAGACTCCAAATCCTCACAGTTTGATTGGTCCTAAATGCACTATCCTGACTGGTCAGAATGAAGCTGCTCTGATCGGTCAGTGAAGATGTTGATGGGGATATGGCTGTGCAGCTCCAATTAGATAGGGAAAGCCTCAGTCCTATTGGTTGAAATGGGATTCTAGGAACTGCTAGCTCTGATGGCAAGAACACAGTGCAGACATGCAGTTCAGCGCAGAGTCAGGTACTTCAATGTAGGCTTCTCCCTGAAGTGCAATTTGCTTGAGAGGCCCCTGTGTAGAAATGGCAGCTAGGCTGTGTATTTAAAAATTTGAGCCCAGTTAGCCACCAGGAACCCTTCTCAGTATGTGTCTTCTTTCTCAGGGTCTGCAGAGGCTTAGGCTGAGAGTCCAAGGATGAAAAGGCTTTGGTGAGATGACACAAGAGTGACGAGGGGAGATTGCTAGGCAGAAGGAGCAGTACTTGTGAAGGCAAGAGTGAGCAGACACTGAGGCTGCCAGCTGTGCCAAGCTTTGAGGCAGGAGAGCAGGGCGGGGGTGCACTGAGGCTGGAGCAGGGGGCAGTGGCGGACCAGGCACCTGACTGCATCACGATCTTTGAACAAAGGGCACTGGGGAGCCACTGAGACCCAGTCTCTAGTCTACGTGCACCTGGATACTTAGACTCTGCACAGGCACAATAGCTGGGTAACTTCCAGCAAGTTAAACTAGCTCTATAGTGCTCCATTTCTTTAACTGCACGAAAGGCAATTGTAGTGTCAATTATTCAAATAATCATGTTTCCAAACGCCATACACAGCCTTTGATACATGTGCAATAAACAACATTTCATTTTGAGCTATGGCTTTCTCTCGTTTGAGCCTCACAATGTGACGTGGTTATTACTCCATCCCAACCCATTTTGCAGATGATGAAATCACCAGAGCCCAGACTACTTAAGGAGCCCACCAGTTGCCAGCAAGCGATGGAACCATGTGACCCAAGCGCACTTCATCCTGCTTGCAAACCAGGCGACCTGCCAGACTCTGCTCTCACAGTTAGTGGAGAGAGGCCCCGTTTGTGCCTGCAGGAGACACACGGATCCTGAGGAGCTCTAGGCAGGTAAGAAACATATTAAGAAAGAGAGATGGTTAGAGTGAAACCCTGCCTTTCCCAGCAGGCAGGGTGAGAGCAGAAAAGGGTGGTTACCTGGACCATCCCTGCCATGGAGTGAAGCCTCGTGGTGGCTACCGGACCTCCATGAGCTCACATGGCTGCGAAGCTGGCATCCTGTAAGTGCATACGATGATGGGTAAGCCAGTCGACCCTGCAGGGGTTCTCTGGTGGACATGGCCCCTGGCACACATCAGCACAGCTTCTTGGGTTGTAGGACATTTCCGAGACTGGAGCAAGTATGCCATTGCTTTCCCTAAAGCCTTTGCCTTCTCCTTTCCCTTTGTTGCATTCATCCCAGTTGGGGGATGGTGGGACAGGCTGAGTTTTTAGAAACCATTCCCTGGCTGTTTTTGCTCCCTGGGCCACCATGTCTACAAAATCTGAGTACAATCCTGGAGTCCAGATTGAACACAACCCTGCAACAGTCTATAAGCTCCTTTCAGCTCCATATTCCTAGTGGGCATGTCATGGATGCATAATCAGTAACTACTGAAATAGTATGGAGTTAGTGAGTGAGGCTCAAAAGGTGTATGTTAGGTTTGATTGAATGGAGTTATGCTTACAAACAAGAAGACCCGACTCAGAATTCTTTTGCTATGAGGGGGTTGTAATGGTCTTCTGCCACTCCTCTGAAGTCCTGAGTGATGCTATTGTTACAGGGTGCAGCCAAGAGGGGGGACCCCAAATGGGCATTTGAAATGGGGTCCAGAACTTAAGGTGTCCAGGAGATTTTAAGATGTCTCCATCTCCCCCCAACCCAGGGTGTGGGTTGAGGGAAGGGACAAATTGAGCAGGGCCATTGAGAGCTGTTTTGCATAGCAACAGCCTTGCAGCTACCCTCTGGCGTGGTCATTTAACATATCTATAGCCTTTGGCTGGTCGCTTAGATATGTTAAATAGCTGTGATCATCTCTGGGTAGGGGGGGAGAATGGAAGTAACTTCCCCACCAAGAGGTGACTGGGGGCAGATCCCCCAAGCTACAGCGCCTGCGTGGGAGCTCGGAGAAGATTAGCTCCAGGACATGGGGCCACGCCTGCCCAGACTCAAGATGGCAGCCCAGTAAAGCTGGAAGGATATGAATTCTGGCAAGTGAAGCCGAGTGTGGGAGGAGTCGGAAATGAGGCTGCAGAGGAAGACTGGCCACGGGGATTTAAAACCCAGACGTGGCAGCCTTTGAGGAGAGAACCACGCGGTTTTGACAGAGTGGAGACTCCTGCATCCCAGAGAGAACCATGCTCATCCCAGGGGGAGAACCATGATGCTTTAGGAAGGAGAACCGTGCTGCTTTAGGAGAGAGAACCACGCGGCCTTGACAGAGTGGAGACTCCCGCAGCCCTGAAAGGGAGAACCACGAGGCCTGGACAGAGCGGGGACCCCCGCAGCTTTAGAAGGGGGAAACCACCACCTGGTTTTAGCAGAGATCCTGGCGACTCAGCCGAGGGTGCCGGGAACCCAGGGAGGTCTCCCAGTCGAGAAGGAGGACTAACTAAGAACCAGAGGACTGTCTGAGCCATGGACTTCGTTTTCCTTCCCTGAGATACGGTGCTCTGGACTGGGCAAAGGGGGGAGGAAGGAAGGACTGTGTCTGTTTGTGGGTGTTTTGGGGGGACTTTGGGATTTTTTGATAAAGACATTAGGTCACTACTTTAAGTTTGTATAGCATTAAATAAACATTTCCTTTCCTTTTCACGAATCTCTGGCATTGAGAGATGTCTTTCCTCTGGTGGCAGACATAACGGACCCGGGGCCTTCTTTCAATAATAGTATATCGTCCAGGCCCCCCTTGTTCTGTTCTGTAACACTACCTATGCTGAGGAAACAGCAAAAATGTGTTTGTTCTGAAGCATCTCTCTCACACACGCTTCCCTTCAATGTCCTCTATGAGTTTTAGCAAGCTGTAGAGTGTTGAATAGTGTAGCAAGCTACTGAGTGACTTCTGATTTGCTGTCACAGTAGGTAGACACACGGCCCTAGGGTGTTGCACGTGGGTCACTGGCCAGCAGTGACCACGGAACGCTGTGGATGGCTCAACGATAAACACGCGAGAAAAAACATGCACAGAGACAAACTAGTTTCTGTGGAGAAGTAGGGGCGAAATGGCCACCCCTTCTAGTGAGGAGCGCGCTGATTTACAGTCCATACCTGCTTTTATTGGGCTCATTCTGCATAATAATTCAGGTAAAGTACAGTACTCATTAGGGGGAAGTAAGGGACCATAGAAAACAAAGAACTCTGCCGGTCTATTAAGTCGGGGTCAAAGAGCTGTAAGACTGAGGAACAAAATAACTTCCTCTTAAGACCCTTCTCATTCAACTGAGAGCATTCTAAACAAAGAAGGTTTCACAGTAATTTACATGTTCTTTCTTAGGCCTGATCACCCCGGGGAATCCGCACTTCTCAGTACCGAGCTGCACCACCCTGTCATTGTTTCAGGCTTAGGTGGAGCAAGGGAACTAAGGCAACCGAGAGACAAGGAGGGTTTTTTCCCAGACGCTGAGAACTCAGGCTATGTCAAAGCCAAGGAGCGAGGGTCCATCAGCCCCCTTTTGCTGCAGCCCCCCCCCCAAGTCCTTCTTTTGGGGGGCCTCCCAAAGTGATCGTGCCTGTCTTAGGTCGTTCCCCCGTGGGAAATCTTACCCGTCTTTGGCTAACCGACCAAGCTTTTTTGGGGGTTCAGTTATGAATAAAGCAGCAGAAGCAGCATTCCTGCCAGGGAGATAAGCTTTTGTCTCCTTGCTGGCTTACAGTTCCAAGGGCGTTCCCTTAGCCTTAGCCTAGGTGGGGGTTTCAGCTTCTGATACCAGTCAGGGCGGTTCCCAACACTAGGGAACATGCATGGGCTTTGGTGTTGTACTATGGCCCCTACAACCTCTTGGCAAGTAATTTGGGTGGTTGACTTAACTCTGAGACTCTGTATCTCCTTCAGCAAAATGGAACTGATAATAGCCACTGAATGGCAGGTGGGAAAATCATGATGCAGTTGTAATGGGTCACACATCCAGAGGTTAGGTCACTGTCCCATCACTGTGCTGGGTGCTGTAGTGCTCCACTCAGACTCCTTCTCAGGACGGAGAAACTCAGTCCTGCCACTGCTGGGCATGCGGGGTGCTGACAGCTTCCCCCACCCCAGGCACTGCCCTCCAGTGGCCTTGCTCAAAGTCATACCCCTTTTCGTGGGACTACGTGCACGGGCTCAAGGCTTGGCCCTCCTTAATTCAGAGTAGCTCTGAAGGGCCATCCCATCTCCAGAAATGCCTGGCAGATCAGCCGCCGCTTTGTAGCAGCCGCCTTCACCCAGTGCTGCTTCTCTCGCTCCCTGGCTGATGGTTGTACACAGAACACTGGTGGAGATGTTCTGACTTCTACAAGACAGTCTCCATTTCAGAGTCCGTTTCCTGGAGTCTTGCCCGTTCCTTTGAAATTTACTACTTACAGTGGACAGTTTTTCAAAGGTCAAAGTGTTACATAGATAACTAGCATGTGGTGGAATTGGGATTCTGATAAGAATCTTGTGATTTCAAGTCCAGGGCTCCTCTTGGCTCTGTCACTCTGTCCTGTACTCATGAAATGAGGTGGAAGAAGTCACAACACAACAGGCCCGTGTGTTTTAGTTCATCAAGAATCACCATATTCTGGTGTTGGGCAACTTTTATCAAGATGTTGGCCATCCTTTCAAAATCACTGCAATTCCTCCAGTTTTCCCACCATTGAGCACGGACAGTCTGGCCCTCAGTCAGGCACAGTAAGCTTTCTTAAAACTTGAGATGCATTTTTATTTTTTATTTTTAATTCTTATTGAACTGATACAAAGGACAAGCTTGAGTGATAAAAATGTGGGGAGTTAATAACTCCTAGGGATGTATGGTACAATAGGATGACTTGTTACCATTGCTATATAGAAAAATTATATAGAAAATTATTGAGGGGGTGAAGCTTAGGAGTTCTCATCACAGGGAGATACTTTTTCTTTTCTTCTTTCTTTTCTTTTTACTCTATCTATATGAGATGATGGGTGTTAGCTGAACTTTACCATGGTAGTCATTTATAATATGTGTAAGTCAAACCATCATGCCATTTTCCATAAACTTATACAGTGATATATATAGATATATATAGATATATATAGATATATAGATAGGTAGATAGATAGATCAATTAATTCTCAATAAAATTAGAAAAAGAGACTATGGGAAGGTAATGATACAAATGAGCAAAGGTATCTGCCATTCACTCATTATTCCTGTTTTGAAATGCACCCACCCATCTAATCAATGTGTTGTGTGTTTTCTATGTGCCATGAAGTGTTCTAAGCACTTTCCATACATGTTCTTCTCTCATCTTTACATCAACAATGCGAAGCTTAGTAGGTGCTGGAACTTGTCCAGGGTGGGCCAGATGGGAAGACGCAGACTGAGAAATAATCCAGATGTCACCAAGAACCATTGTGTTTGTACTGTGCTGTCTTCCCCACTGGTCCATAATTAAAAAAAAGTTAAACCATGACAGTGGCAGAAAGTAATATCAGATACAGGAGAGACGATGCATGTAGACAGGTGAGTCTTCACGCTTTCTTGGAGAAGGCACAAGTTGGCTTTTGCAGACACCAAGGCTCACTTTCAGAGTGAAAGCTCAGCAATTTCATTTGAGACAGACTGGAAGGAGCCTGTCTGGCAAACTTGGATCTGAGTCCTGTATTTTTTACTAGCTTGTGACCCTGGCTAGAAATTTCACTTTTCTGAGCCTTTACTCTATCTACATGAGAGATCTCACTGACTATCTGTAAAGCTTAGAGAAAGTATGAAACATGCCTCTTCCAATACTTGATAACATTGTAGACATTTACCAAATAATGTTTAATTTCAATCCACTCAAATCTCTAAGTTGTAGTAAGAAATGGAGAAAAGCTTATTAATTACTTTCTCCAGTTTGTGTCTAAGAAAAGACTAAGTCAAAGGAGGACTTTGCTCTTGTCTTCATAACTCATGTTACACTACTGACCATGACACATACACTTGCACATGCACTCATGTGAACACACATGTACATCCATACACACCTGCACGTACACAGATACTCAAGCAGGAGCCACAGACCCACAGGGAAGAAGTGCTTACAGTGTTTAGGCACCATAATAAACTTTCACATGAAGTACAGTGCTGTAGTGTTCTTAATTAAAATCTCTAAAGAACTCTAGTTGAGGATATCACCACCCAAAGTCGAATTTATATTGTTAATTATTCAAGTTACGGTGAACAAGAAACAATGCCCAGGCTTCCCATAAAATTTCCAAAAATTAAGCTAGGAAAATGGGCAATAAATGCCATTTGAAGAGGTACTGATGCCAGGTAATTGCAAGACAACTGTAAAATAATGGGGCGTGAGGTGCTTCAACAATGCCTAATTAGTAACTATATGGACATTTTCTTGGGGGAAAATGGCAATTACACGGTGCAAACACTTAGCAGTCATCATCAGAGGCCCTTTACCATTATTAGCTAATTAATCTTCCCCACAGCACCCTGGACAGAAGCAGCACAGGTCCTCGTGGAAAGAGTGAGACATGCGGGCCAAGAGATAAAAATGGCAAGTTCTCTTCCTACTGCATTGCCAAAGCGCAAGTTGACACTCTCAACCTAAAAGCACCCAGGGGGATCCCCAGGCAATAAGGG